CTGATTCTTGTGCCCTGAACAGTGGCAAACAGGAGCAATCCATGAACCAAGGTAATTAGGCAGAGACTAAAATGATATGTAAATGAAGGCCCAATTCTGTGAATATCCTAAATTACTTACAGTCTTGCCAGGCAATATAGCACTGAGCAGCTCAGAGCTAGGCTGTCAGAGGTGTTCATAGCAACTCAGCTTTCTCTGGCTTTAAGGAATTGGGTTGTCCTATGCCTGTGGCCTGGACTGACTGCTATTATTTGATGCACACCGTTGACAGGCAACCTATCCAGGCAGAAATATATTTAAAAGGTAAACCCATAAAAGGAGAAGGGAGTGGTATTTGTGTAAGTAACCATCAGAAAGAAATGGCCAGTAGAGAGACTGCTATTCCAGATGGCATGAGCTGTAAAGGAGAAAGCGCTTGCACCCGTGTTGGAGAAATACTGACTGAACAAGGAGTAGGAGGATGCACTCTGAGGAGAGCACAGGGGATACTGTGGTCTTGATAGAACTGTGATGGTGTGTGTCATCTAGTACTGAACTAAGTGGATAATATTGAGCCAGCTTGTGGTGTTTCTGGATGAAAATTTTCTTCTTTTACAATAATAGAGAAACTCCTGCTGGTTCCAAGAACAAGATCCCAGACCAAGCTATAGCTTGCAGTTAGGACCCAACAGCTGAACATCTCCTCAGTATCCCGTGGGTCTGAGTGAGTTGCTCTGTGGCTGAGCTGCCACCCAGTCAGGGTCAAGACTGTTGACCAGAACCTTAACAGTTGTTTTTGTTTTGTTTTGTTTTGTTTTTTACCTCATTTCCTTTCACAGTGAACTCCTATGGTCAGCCCCAGCCTCCCCATCTCTTCTCCGGGCCATCTCCTATGTACCAGATTTCCACCCAGGACTCTCCAGGATATAATCGCCCAGGTAAGGAGTGACATTAAGGCATATTATAGCAATGAGCATTAAAGAATTGGTTTCCAACCCCTTTGTGTGTTTCTCCCAAAGCATTTAGTAATCAAATGGAGCACTGCAGGTAGAGAGGGAGGCTGGACTGCAAAAAAACCACTGTTTAGGGTTCTGCCATAGCTTTGGAAAGGTTTAAGGTGTCAGTGGTCTGATTTCTTTCACTTCACATGGACAGTCTCCCAGTTCAGCCTCACCCTCGGTTGCTTGAAGGCAACTTTACATGAGAAGCTTCTGTTGATGAAGTCCTTTGTGCTCTGTCAGCAGTCAACTGTGAGAAAAGTAAAGGAGGCTGAAACTTAACTTCTGTAGAAGATGCTGTGGAGAATTTCACAGTAGACCACCTACAGACATTGGTAGGTGCTGTGTGACAGAGAAATTGATGCCAGTAGTGTTCTTGTTTGTTAGACTATTGGAAGGGAGAAGGCCCAAACCACTTTGGGTTTCTTTTGCCCAAGAGCCCCCTGTGAAAAAGCATGTAGTTCTTTATTCTAACTGTTCTCTTTCCTTTTTTTTTTTCCTTGTTTTTGGCTCAGCTCATCATCTGGTCCCCCGGCCTCCAGGACCTCCTCCAGGCGCCAATGAGGAAATCCCCGATGATTTCGACTGGGACTTGATCACCTAGCGAGTTACAGACTTGATAGGCCGTCCTTTGTGAGGGACGTGGGAGGGGAGGGAGACATGGGGTCAATGGTGTCAGCACCGCCCTCCCCAGCCTCCCTGCCTTGCCTGTATATAGATATATATTCTCTATCTCCGCCAGAGAAGCCACCGCAAGATGCTGCCGAAGATAATCCTTCCTTGCGTCCTGTTTTATCTTCTTTTCTTCTTTTGTTTATTATTATTATTGTTATTATTATTATTACCAATAATTGAGCACAGCCCTCCCCCTCCTCTGGTGGCCTCGGACGCATCGGATCAGCTTTCATGTTGTGTAGTGCCCTATGGAGGGCAGAAAGATGGGTCCTTGGTGCCATGAAAAGACCTTGGAAGGCTGAATCCTCGAGTGCATCTTTCTCTGCCTCCGTCATTTTGCGTTTAACAATCCCTCTTTCCCTTCAAGGTGGCCGGTGAATCTGTTGTATTGGCTACTGGAGTGAGAGAGCCTAGTGGACCCTGGGAGCCTGTAGTTATGTTGTTTCGTAAATGTTGTAAAGGTCAGGGGGCTGAAGGGACACTGGAGGGGTGATCTTAGCTCTGTGAACTTTGTCACACCAGCAGGAACAGCAAGAAAAGAAGTGGTGTTCCCAAGTACAAAGAGAAGGTAATCCCTGAGGCAGGGAGAGCTAAGCTGAGCTGGGAGGGCAGACCTGAGTCTGGAGAAAGGAGAACGGGGCAGAGATGGTATTTCAGCAGTGAAGTTGGGTTTCACAGTGTGGTGCCATCTGTGAAGACAGAGAGATTTTGAAGGGAATCCTGACCATTTCCTACACTGCTTTTTGCAGTCTCCAGGTGAAGCTTAAATACCCATCAGATAAAAGAAGCAGTCAGGGGTCTCACATGTGATTCAGAAAATTCTGTTCCCCAGAGCTTTTAATTTCACCCCCTATCCCTTCAAGCTCTTCTTCAAAACATGTAGTGAGGCTCTTACTTGCATATGCAAATTTGGAAATTTTCTCCCATCAGTATTTGTCCAATTGTTATTTGGCCCTCTGCCCCTCAGATTTCTTTGGAGACTGTCTTTGCCTGTGTTTTGAGTGCCAGCAGCAGGAGCCTTGTTGCGTACGTGCATGTCCTCTGTCAGGGGTTCCCACTTGGTGAACGGGCTCGTGGTGGGCAGATGAAGCTGCTGCACAGACTGGGGGGGAACTTGAGGGACTGCTGGTCAAGGGCTGGACCCTCTGGTCAGGTACCGGGAGGCCCTCACGAGCAGTTTTTGTAAGACGGGCATTAGAAGAGAGAGGATGAAGCAGGGCAGGCTTTTAAACCGAACAGCTGAAGAGTGTAGTATAAAAGGGAGGTGGGTGGGTCAGACCCCTTTCAGTTCGGCTGGAGAGATGACAGCATCTGGTGTAAATCCTTAAGGATGAGTTTTGTCAGCACTTGCAAATCAGGAAGGTGGAAAAGGTGCAGGAGCAGGAGTGAGTGTTGAGATGCCTCCTCCCCAAAGCTATGTCCTGTGTTCCCCTTTTTTTCTGGTATGGCTCTGTTCTGTCAAACCTCTTGCTTTCTCTTAATATTTTGTAAAGCCTCCCCCCATCCCTAATTCCCTGTTTATCAGTGAAGGGAACAAACATGGAAATAGACCATCATGGCCACTTGACATGGGGCAGGGCAGTAAAGTAATAACCTCTACTATGACTGCAGGAAGGTGGGGAACTGCCATTGCTTTTTCAAATTGCTGTAGGGATAAACCAATCGGAAATTAGATCTTTGTCAGGGAAGTGGACAGAGTCTTGTTGTATCAGGAGGGGGGAACAACACTTTTTTTTTTCTTTTTTTCTTTTTTTGTTTTTTTGGTTTCTTTTTTTTGTTTTGTTTTAAGTGTGTGTTTGGGGGGGAGTTCGTCATTGAGTATTTCCAAGAGAAATGAGGAATCCCAGACAGCTTCAACATGGAGTCAGCTGTTATCTCTGCTGATTCAGGATGGGAATAATACATCTTGGAAGCATGTGTGATAGGTTTCTGTGGGAAGTGGCACCAGAGATAACTCATAGCAGGTGCCAGTTAATGCTTTGCAAAGGACGTTACTGAGAGCCGGCCCTATGGAAGTCTGAAAACACCACCGGAAGAAAAACAAACCAAGATGGCTCCTTCTGCGTATCCAAGTGCTCCTCATTTGCATATTTGCATATTAAGTTGTGCCTCATTTGCATATGTAAATACATGCCGGTCAGTGTGCAAATTAGCCTCGTTCCTCTGCCCCTGAAATAAATGTGCGTTGTTAGTGCGTGGAAGACATCAGTGGGGTGGGCAGCACTGGCCTGCAGGGAGGGGAGGGGGGCCAGCCTGGCCTGGAGGAAGGTCCTGCAGGCCCTTCCAGCCCGGTGTGGCCCCCCCTGTGCTTTGTGTCAGTGGTCAGGGAGAGAGGGGCGTGGTTTCACGAGTTTATTTTTGTGCATGCTTTCTTAATAAAAAGAAAAAGTGAATGTTTATGGTTTAACTCTTTTGGTGCCAGTATTGATTTTTTTCCCAGCGGCGCTCATCAGGTTGGCTCAGGTCCCACCTACTTACCTTGGAATTTCGGTGTTGACATGGCTAAATGAACCTGTATGTACTTTAGACAGAGACTTTTTTACGATGTTGAGAGAAAGAGTTGGAAGTTCTCCCAGATAACTGTTTTTGAGGCACTGAGATCTGTGAGTCTTTCAACTCGTGCTCACCAGAAAGGCAGAGTGAAAACTCTACCAGTGTTTGGTGGCTGTCATACCATGTGTTGACCTTTCTCTTTTAAGGAAGGAGTAACACAAAAAGCAGATTTTTAAACTGCTTCCATAGAGTACCTGGTAAATGTATTACCATTTTTCAGGAGCAGGGAATGTTCAAGCTTGGGAACACCTCAAATAGCCTGACTGGATGAAATTTTTATCTTCCTCTGCCAGGACACAAGAAGCACATCTCTCTTGTAAAGAGAGCCTGATGTGACTGAGCCCCAATGTGGTCATTCCCCACCTTCTTGAGGTTATCACTTCTCAATTCCAGAGTTTTGCCAAATGGCTGATAGTCTAGCAGTCATCTGATCTGGATCATCCATGACTACAGCTATTTAAATTCTGCACATGTGCCATCTTGAAATGCAGGAGGTACATTTGGATAATCTCAAACTACTTCCTAAAAGGAATATTTGGGACTCTGGTGGTGGAGAGAGTGTTGCGGAGGCAGTGAGCGTGCACATGTTAATGAACATAGGTACTGCATGTGCATTGGACGAGTTACAGTGATGTATTTCCCAGTCAGTTCAATGCAGCTGCCTGGGGCAAATGCTGCTCTAACACAGGGCTGTAAAGGAATGCAACATTACCCTCTAGGGGAATCTTCAGATAGTCCCCCACACACCTCAGGCCCCAAGTAGAGACAAAGGAGAGGAAAGATGTGATCACATTCTGAGGAGAGACATCAAAGTGAGTTTTATCTGCAGTTTATCAGAGACAGGAGATGTAGAACACAGACATATGGAAATAAAATAACATCTCAATTCAGAGGTTCAGCTACATGATCCCACCACATTCTGCAGCCCTGCTTTCTTCTTTAGGGTTTAAAATTCTCTCTCTTCTGCTTCACCAGTCTTCCCTCACTCTTGGTACTTCCAACTTCCCATCTCTAGAGTAGGATGTAAAGGGGTTACTTGTCATGATCTGAACCATACAGTGTCCTGGGTGTGGAGTTGCAGGCTAATGAAATGTGTTAGAGCAAAAACAGCTGTTAAACAGTGATTGATGTGCAGGGCCATAGCTTGGTCTTTCTGCAATGGTGAGAGGAAGTCCTGCATTACACTGTGCTGCTAATATTCTTCTCTGCTGAAGTCTGGCTTCTGTGAAGGGTTGAACATGAGAGTTCATCACTCAAGGCACCTTCCAAGATTGCTTGCACTGATTGACGTACCTTTGCCCTGAAGTCCCGTCCCACAAAAACATAGAGCAGGGGGTTGATGCAGCTGTTGGCATAGGCAAGTGCTGTAGAAAGGTGATCCCACAGGATCAGTGATTCCGTCGGACCTGTTCTAAGACTAGGTACAAGGGAGAGAATCCCAACTACATGGTATGGAGCCCAGCAGGTGAAGAACGCAGCTACCACGAGCACAATTGTTCGCAGCATCCTGTTGTGCGGTTTGCTAAACTGATTTGCGCGAGTTCTGAAAACGATAAGGACGTAGCAAACTGCCATTATGCCAAAGGGGAGCACAAAGCCGAAGACAGCCCTAGTGACATTTATTACCACTAAGGCAAGGGGTACAGAATAATCACCCTCATAGGTATTTCCCAACAAGTCGTTACCGTTGTAGGCTAGAGGTGAGTATTCTTCCCATGACTCATTTACAGACTCATTTATATAATCTAGCACCTGATCGTCTCCAAAACTGTACCCACACTCAGTTTTGCCATCGTAAGTGCTTGTCTTACGGTAGTAGAAGACAGGACAGCAGAAAATGAAGGCCAGGATCCAAATGCCACCGCATATTAGCGATATAAATTTCACTGTTCGATGGTTTTGACACCAGACAGGTTTCATGACAAGGAGGCACCGGTCGATGCTGATGGCCACGAGTAGGAAGACACTGGCAAACATGGTGAAGATTATGACTGATGGAATGACTTTGCAGAGGAACCAACCATACGGCCAGTGTTCATGGAGGGCCAGGTGAACAATGAAAAATGGCAAGGACAAGCAGCACATGATATCAGCCACAGCAAGGTTTAGGAACCACACAGTGTTCACAGACCTTTTCATTTTCAGACCAGCTACCCAGATTACCAATCCATTGCCTGGGACACCTGTGATGAAAACGATGGTGAAGATAGCAATGGAGACAATTGATACCGATGCATAATATACAGCAGCCTGTTCCTCTGAACTGCTATTGCCCAGGAGCTGAGGCATTCTGCAGCTATAAAACAGAGAGGAAATTAGTAGCAATTCCCATTCTCCTCCCCAAATTCTTCTCTTAATCTTTCATGAAGCATCCTGAGTCAGGTGACAGCACAGAGCTGTGAGGATACAAAGGCATTGGTCTATACAAGTTTGTGCTAAAGGCTTACTAATGTGACCATTGTACACCTTCATCATTCTCGTAGTGGCTAAGCTACATAAGCCCCACTATTCAAACAGCTGTATGCATTTACATTCTCTTATCTCTGTCACCCCCTTTGATATCTGGTTCTTTTTAGTCTCCAAAGTGGTGCTCTCTGTTCACATGGCCATGCTGTCCCCAGGTGTTTCCTATTGCCTTCCTGCTTTGATTACACTTCTCAGAAAGGGACATCCGTGTTTTTAAGTCCTGTTCCCTTTAAAACGAGTGACTTCCTCAGGCATAACCAGTGAAATACATCCAGGCTAAGAAAGCGGTGCTTGTCTTTATGAAATAACCCTGCTCTGCTTTCTGGACATCATAAATAGAACACAGAAGACAGCAACTCTGTTGCTAAGGGGTATTTAAGGGCTAAGGGGTATTTTAGGGAAGTCTCGGTAACCACTTCCTTCTCCCTTGCTTGTATTCTGACCTGTCTGCTGGTTCCTTGGAAAGCTAGTCTTGATGAGGAGAAAGGCAAGAAATTAATGGTTAAGGTTCTATGAAAGGCAAGAAATGAATGGCTTAAGAAGAACAGAGATTTATTTGTAGAAATAAAAATGAAAATACAGAGTAATAGCAGTAAGGTTCTTCAGCCATTTTAGATATAAGAGGTGCCTTATTGCAAGACAATGAAGCTGAGCTACCACATACTTAAGTGAAATGTTAAAACTATGAGAATAGTAGAGGAACAATGTTAATTGCTCAATTAACCTTGGACTTAGATATTAGTAAAATTAGAAAGGAAAGGAAAACTAGCAAAGCCAAGATAGAACTGAGAAAAAGTGCCCGATCTTCATCCTTTAGGTATTAATAGATTTGTCTATAAAATGCCTGTTAACTAAATCCTTGCTGAATCAATGAAAGAAGTTGTGTTGCTGAAAGGTCCCTAAAATGGTACTAAAATGCAAGGAAGCTGCATAGTTAAGAGCTGAATACAGCCTGCAGAAGCAACTGAGAAGACATGAATAACATAACTGACCCTCTTTTTACCTCTGTTATGCCAGTACTTAAATGACGGTCAGGGACTGTTTTGTGCAGGACTAAATATCAATATTATTAAAAAAATTAAATTCAAATCATCCATCTCTTTCTTGCATAACATATAGTCTAAATGTGGAGCGATGCACAAGTGTTAGAACTGCTTCACCAGGAAGAAAATTAGATTGTAATTTACCAGTTTTTGGTAATAACTGCTAAGAAGTTTTAGATGAGGGTGACCTGCAAGAAAAGCTATGAAAGAAGTCTCTGGAAAACTTAACTTAAAGCTGGAGTCTTAATTTAAAATTCTAGCACGTTTGTTCCATTTCCTGTGGTCTTGCTGATACATGCAAAAGTGACTTTTACAGGGACCGCTGGAGAACAGTGCTGCAACAGCTGAATCTTGTTGCCTCCTCATATAGTTACAGAAAATGGTGCGAAGGGGATAGGGAATCAAGGAATGCTGTAAAGACAGTAATGCAAGTCGTATTCCAAAGTAAATGGAGAGATGAATCAACACAAAGATACTGCCCACTCTATGTTTTCAAGAGTGCTAAAAGGGCTGAAATGTTGTTCAAAAATGGAAGAGGGAACTGGAGGAGAGAGAGAGGTTTTCAGGAGTGAATAAATTGCAAGTAGAAGAGGAAAGCAGCTTATGATACTTACCTGAGTGAAGTTATTTCAGTGTGTCAGGGAGCAAGTACCATCAGTCCTGTCCCTGGAGTTACTGAAAAAAGAAACTCACATGACATTTTAGGAACCGCTTGTTGTTTCCTGTATGTGTGTGCCAAGTGTGTTCTTTCGCCCTGATGGAAAGGCTTAGAATGATTCATATTTAAAGTTTTAGATATCATCTGCTCTTTAAATAAACAGTCAAACCAAAAGAAGTTATCCTGATACTGTCAAAATAAAATAGTAGCCTAAATAAAACATTAAGAGAACGCAAAGGAATAATGTGCACAGACCTATACTTCACTAGAGTTTCCATAAGACAACTGAATGACATCTTGCCTGTTGACATAGTACTGACATTTGATATAATTCATAATTCCAAACTCTGCCATGTCACTGTCAAATGTCTGACCTGTTGTCTTGTAGCCACTTCCATGTTTTATGAGTTCAGCATATTCACCTAGTTAATCCCATTTTTCTAGGATTCTTATCAATCCAGATCAGCTTCTGTCCCATCTTGAGACATCTTAGAACATTGTATTCAGCAAACCATGACTGGTCATGTCAAAGGGATTTTAATCGGACTTTTACATTTCAGGGTATTTAAACTCTATTTTTTAAGAAGGAACTTGACTGACAGAAAGTTAGAAGTGGTTAACTGAAATGCTGATTGCACAAAATGTGGCAAGACGATAAGAACAAAAGATCTCTAGGGCAAGAGATTGCCCCTCACAATTTGGCAAATCAAGACTGCTAGCAGAAATGACAAAGCCCAGACATTCAAGAATCAGCCTCAGTGTTTTGGTTTTGGTCTGGAAAAGAAACCACGACAGAGCAAAGTTCTGTCACCTGTATCTCTAGAAGGCACACTGCAGTCGTCTGGTGGCCAGGCCTTGCTAAGTACTTGCTTTCCTCCTCACAACTGTGCATTTAGGGACTCTCCAGTAACATGAAGTACCCACGGGGTTGCCCTGGTACTCCCCATATTTCCCTCTTTAAAAAATTCACTGAATGACTCCAGGGCATTTCTTTGCAGTGTTGAGTAAGCTCAGGTAAGCACAAGCTTTGGACACCAAGTAGGGAACAAAGCCTGGCAAAACTGGTACCAACATAAAACCTACATAATCAAAAAATAGCCCTTCACAATAACAGGATCTCAGTACTGGATGAGTGTTTGGGTCAGTTTTTTCAGTGAAAGAAACATCATTTGAAATATTATATGGTCTGTTTTGTAAAAATGCTCATAATTCTTAAGTTATCTAAAGAGTAATTTTGTGAGACTGGTTTCCCCTGTACCTTCTGCGCAGAAAAGGAAAATTCCAAATGTTGGGTACAATGAAGTAGGTTCCTGGGCAATGCCTTATTTTTTCTTAAATAGGCAAAGCAAAAGCCCAAATGATTCTTTTGCATGGTTTATTATGAGGCTACCTACAGATTGGCATGAACAGTGCATTTTACCCTACTTGCACACCTCACATAATTGCACATTGTGGAGTTCCATCCAAGATTTCTGCTGTTCCTTGTTTTTTGTTCATTGAAAATTTCTGTGTGGGAAAAATATGGATCCTTCATTGCTTTCATAGTCTGATTTTAAATATGTTCTACTTCAAGATTTCAACCTCACTGCTGAATTCTTAAAAAAAAAAAAAAAAAGGTAAAAAAAATTAAAACGTTTAGCTTTTATCAGAAGTGCTTTATAATTTCTTGGTCCAGAGATGCCTGTTTGAACCAGGCAAAAGAATGTTATGTTCTCTGCTGGTTAAGTCTCAATGGAAATGGATGTGAGGTGTATTCCTGGAGTCCTGGTGCTGCTTGCGCATTTTTTCTCACATGCCTTACAACAGCTGGCCCTTTGCCACTCGCTCATCCTAGAAGGACCATAGGAGAACTGTAGCACACTGAATGACAGCACAGTAAAGAGGTAGGTAAAATTTAGTATTGCTAATTGTGAATCACTGAACTTGGAAAGGCAACTGTAACTATACACACAGAGGGATGTACTCCAGATGAGTTATTAGAACTCAAAGAAAAAACTTAGCAGTCACTGCAGGATGTTCTCTGAAAAATCATATCAACACACAACTCAGTCCAAAAGGTAAATGTAATTGCTTCTTGAACAATGAATGCTGTAGTAGTCCCCGATCTTAAAAAGAATTATAGAATCAAAAATAATGAAGAAAATTATGACTAGACAGCCATTGCTGGGAATGGCTTCTTTTGGTGGACAAGCTAAATAGATGAGAACCTAAATAGGTTCACCTAGGAAAAGAGACAGGTGACAGTATGAGAGACACGAATTCTTATTTGAAAACAAAAATTTACATTTTTTCATATTACACAATCAGATTCATAACTCCAGGGATGACACAGGTAACTAGAATATAAATAAGTTTTAAAAAAATTAGATGAGTCCATAGAAGACTATAAAAATATTTATAAGAAATGCACTAAACCCCCGGCCCTCAAAGACGTTACACCACAGATTGCTAAGCTACTATACTAGGGAAGTGTAATTCTGTACTGTTTTACAGGCTTTCTTTAAGTTCTTCTGCAAGGTTTACCTCTCATTGATGTCTTCACCTCAATTCTGCAGTCTGACAAGCAGTTTAACACTGGCACAGTGCAAGGAGGGAGGCTGAGCTGCCTCTTACACATGTATCTGCATTGAGTGTGGGTGCCATGTATTCCTACCGGCTCCTGCGCAAGCTGATCCAACACAGTTGCCGAGTTGTCTGTATTAGTTTCTTCCTTATCTTGGCAGTTCTTGCCAAATGTCCTTGTGGCCCATAAATTCTGCATTGTGTCCACTATCAGAGGTACATCCTTCTCCCCCAAGCTTTGTTAACCTCCCCTGAGGTGTGAGGTTATTGAAACATGTCGAGCCCTAACAAGGTAATTCTAGTCACAAGTAATTTGTCTTTCTAGCACCTGGACATCACTTAGAGCTTGCTTGTTAGCTGCCCTGGGTTTCACAGATTAAATCTCTCTTGTTGTTGATTAGGCTTGAAAGTATACAAAGATCAAACATCAAAGAACATCCTTTCTTAAGAGAATTTTTACATATTCCGTATTTTTGCGACAATTAGGCAGTACTCCGCTTCACAACCCCCTCCTCATTTCCTGGAAATTCCTGGGCAAATTGTTAATTTTTATGACCCTTGAGATGTCAGCATCACTGTTAGTCTTAACTAAATCGATAAATAAAATAGTATTTACACTCTTATTTTCGTCACATTTTTGGGGAAGCCACACTCCTGAAATTAACCTTTGGTAGCTGGCATTTTCATCACTTCCAGCAGCAAAACCTGTAGCGTTTTGTGCCACGTTTTCTCTTGGTTTGCCGTTTTACCAAAAAGACACCCGATCCCAGCACCACAGAAAGTCCATGTTCACTCAAAGCCCCAAGTCTGGCCCACGGCTGCAGGGAAGCAGCCCCCGGGGAACCCACAAGCAGGTCGATGTCCGTGTGGCGCCACACACAATCCCGCTCCTCCGGCCATCCCTGGGGACGGCGCCCCAAGCAAACATGGCCGCGCCAGCCCCGGCGCGGGACCTGCCAGGTTCCAAGATGGCGCCAGGCCCCGCTGCTGTGTCAGAGGCGGCTCCAAGATGGCGCCCTCCCGCCCCTGGGCCCCGATGCCAGGATCCAAGATGGCTCCCTCCGCTTCTCTGACGTTGCTCGCGTCCCGCCCTGCCGCCCCCGCGCCCCCAGGCGGTGTCTGCCCTCATCAAAGATGGCGGTGGGCAGTACAGCTGGTCATTAGGCTACCGCGGCTTGCTTCTCGCCGGGGTTCGTGGCCGAGATGGCGGCGGCCGAGTTGGAGTACGAGTCCGTTCTCTGCGTGAAGCCCGATGTCAACGTTTACCGCATCCCGCCTCGCACCTCCAACCGCGGATACAGGTGAGGCAGCGAGCGGCGGCGCCCGAGATCGCCCCGGCTCGGCTCGGCTCGGCGCGGCCCGGCCCAGCCCCTGGCCGCAGGGCAGCCAGGGCCCCGGGCGAGGCCCTGGGGAGCCGTGTCCCGCGGCCGCGAGGAGGTCTGGCCCGTTCCCTGAGCCCCCGCCGGCCGCAGCCCGGGGGGACCCGCCGCCTCGGGTTGCCTCTGGTTGGAGGTGGTCAGCGCCCGAAAGCAGACGCGTGCGCTCGGTGCTGTGGAGGAGCAGGGGCTGCTTTGTCAATCAGGTGCAGGAGGTGAGGCCGCCTGAGCACCTTGCTGTTCCAGGCAGAGCGGACCGTCGCTCCGGGTTTGCTCGGTCAGCGGGGATGTGACTGATGTGCTCTAACGGCGCGTTGGCTTTGGCCTGTTCGCTCTGGCAGCAGCGGGGAGGAAGGCAAGAGTTGTTCTGCGTGATTTTTAAGAGGCTGCAGGACTAGCAGGTAGAAATGCCGTCTCTGATTAGCCGAAAGCAGTAGCGTGCGGTTTTAAAAGCTGTGACCGCAGGCCTGCTAGAGAAGGGGATTTGTGTACTCCCTGAACTTGACAGACTGTTGGTGCCACGGATGTTTGTTTACAGTTGTAAAATCCTGTAGATTTTACAGCACCAAGTCTGCCAGAGTTCAAGTGTTGTTTGGACAATGCTTTCAGGCACATGCCGTGATTCTTGGGGATGTCCTGTGCTGAGAGTTGAACTCTATGATCCTTGTGGGTCCCTTCCAACTCAGAATATTCTATGATTCACTCGGCGGGTTTTTTTCTCTCTTTCCTTTTTTTTTTTTTTCCTTCACAAGACTGTGGTAAAGAGTTTGATGGGCTAGTCAGAACGTATGATGTTTTATCTGGTGTAAGCCAGGTACCTACAGGTTCAGAAGTACTTCATATTAGTTTGCAACAGTAGGGTAGAATAACGGTGTGGCTTTTCAGCATGCTAATAATTAATTATTGGGGTCTTCCTGATGCTCACAAGTCACTTATTAGTCACTTGTGGATTTCCTGTTCAAGAGAGTTTCTGGGCTTCCGTCTCCCCTCTTCTATAGGCTTATGAATGTAGAGAGTTGATATTCTTTGGACTGTGTCTATTTCCCTTTACCCAGAGAGGCCAGTCAAAGTCATGTGTTGATTGGCAGCAACAGAGAGGAACTGAGACCCAATGTGTTGTTTGGGGAGGGAAGTGGAGTGAGGCAGTTTCAGGTGCTGAAAGTTTGGGAGCAGAGACTTCTTCTGAGATGTTTGGGCAGAAGTAGAAGGGTTCTCTATGGTCCGTGATCAGCTGCTTGTCCTTTCAGGGCATCTGACTGGAAGCTGGACCATCCAGACTGGACAGGACGGCTTCGTGTCACCTCCAAAGGCAAAACTGCTTACATAAAACTGGAGGATAAGGTTTCAGGTAAGGCAAAGGCTATGCCTTGGCAAGACTGCAACTATGATTGCTACTGTGCTGCTTGTGAGCCTGCTCAGAGCTGTGTGGCAGCCCTGGCCACATTTAGCAAGAGGTTGCTCTCCTTAACACTTGATTCTTTGTCTGCAGGAGAACTCTTTGCCCAGGCTCCCATAGATCAGTACCCTGGCATTGCAGTAGAGACTGTGGCAGATTCCAGCCGCTACTTCGTCATTCGAATTCAGGATGGGACTGGTGAGTTGAGGGACAATGTATGTGCTAAGTGCTAGGGGTGGAGGAGACTTATCCTGGTGGAGCTGGGTGTTTGCCAGGTGGATTGGAACTGTTTTGGGAGTGCTGGCAAGGCTGGGGAGTGTGCCTGGAGGAGTCAGAAGCTGAGATAAACAGAGGAGGTTCTTTACATTGTACAGAGCCCAGGGGCTGGGAAGGAACGTTTGGTTTCTGAGTGTGCCCCATGGGAAGAAGGGTGTATCCTGAAGGCTAGGAACAGTGAGCAGCTGGTGTCCAGCTGCAGCTGTGTTGGAGGGAGGTAGCACAGAGTGATTTAGGAGAAGCAGAAGGATTTTGGAGCGATTGAATACAAGGGCCCATTTGCAGGGCACCTCCAATGACTCCTCCTATCTCCTTGCTAGGACGAAGTGCTTTTATAGGCATTGGCTTCACGGATCGTGGTGATGCCTTTGACTTCAACGTCTCTTTGCAGGATCACTTCAAGTGAGTTGTGTTTTTCTGGAATGCTGTTTTTCCTCTAGCCTGTAGAACGTGGCGGGTGGTGGTGCATGGTCATTCAGTGTAGGCTTCCCTGGGATGGTCCTGAAGCCCTGCTCTAGCAAGGGACACTTGAGTGTGCTGCCAGCAGGGTCGGATCTGTAAGTCTTAAGCTTAGGTCCTGTGATGCTCCAGGTGCAGTGTTACACAGTTTTTTGGGTTTGTGGTGGTCACAACTTTTTGCTGTACTACAGTGGGAGTAGGGAGGCAGCAGGTTTGACAAGGCAAAGTAGTTTAGTTGGATAGGGAGAGAAACACATTTTTCTGAAATCCTGCTCCCTTTTGCCACAGGGTTTCATGTCTTCCTCTCTTCTTTTTAGGTGGGTGAAGCAGGAGACTGAGATCTCCAAGGAGTCCCAGGAAGCTGACACACGTCCCAAATTAGATTTAGGATTTAAGGAAGGGCAGACTATCAAACTAAACATTGGGGTAAGCAGACCAGTTTACTCTGCTTCTTTCTCTGGATGTGCCAGTGGAGACTCTTCTTACATGTCCTTTTTTTTTTTATACAGAACATGACGACAAAGAAAGGAGGAGCAGCCAAGCCCCGTGCGTCTGGATCAGGTGGCCTAAGCCTGCTGCCACCCCCACCAGGAGGCAAAATTGCAGTCCCTCCTATTCCTCCCCCTTCTTCCACAGCCATTGCCAACCACGTCACACCACCACCTGTGCAGAAATCCAGTAATGCGAGCGGTGCAGGTAAACATTAGCACAGAGCAAGTGATCAGGCACCGGTAGGTGCTTAGAGAGAGCTGAGATCCGCTGCAGCAAACCCATGTTCAGCCTCGTGCCAGCAGTGCCCTGTGAGACATGGTGTGTCCCTGCTCTCTTTGGCAGCTCTGGTGCCCCAGTGCAAGAAAGACATGGGTTTGTTAACCTGGGTCCTGAGGAAGGCTGTGGAAATGGTCAGAAGGCTGGAACACCTTTCCTGTGAAGAAAGGCTGAGAGGGTTGGAGTTGTTCAGCCTGGAGAGGACAAGGTTCTGGGGAGACCTCATTGTGGCCTTTCAATATATAAAGGAATCTTGTAAGAAAGATGAAGACTTTTTACCAGGACCTGTAGTGACAGGACAAGGGGTAAAAGCTTAAACTGAAGGAGGGTAGATTTAGATTGGATATCAGGAATAAATTCTTTACAGTGAGGATAGTGAGACCCTGTGACAGGTTGCCCAGAAAAGCTGTGGGTAGCCGTTCATTGGAAGATTTCAGAGGCCAGATCGGGGAGGGCTTTGAGCAACCTGATTTAGTGAAAGGTGTCATTGGCTCATGGCACGGCAGTTGAACTGGATGAGCTTTGAAGGTCCCTTCCAACCTAAGCCATCCTGTGATTCTATAACAGAGAGGTCACTGCAGTCTTCTGGAGGCTGTACTAAAAGTGTGACCTCTTACTAAAAATGTGACCATGCAGAGGTGTCTGGAGAGCTGATGATACCCTCGTGAAGGCAGAGACTTTAGCAGTGCTGTACACAGGTTTGAGTGAGAAGAAACCACAAGCTTCTGAATAGATCTTGTGTTGTTCCAGAGCATGGTTTTTAGTGTTAAGGTGATGTCTGTTTGGCATCTGTTATGATTGCTGAGCCTTATGTCTACTGGGAGAGGTAATAAGTCACAAATCTGCCAGTTGGTGTGCTAAGTGGAGACCGAAAAGTTTGATGTACCCTTGGAGTGTGAGCTGGAGTCTCTGTGCACGTTCAGTAAAAGGTGATGCTGTTACAACAAACCCCTTGAAAAGTAACTTCCTTCTTCTGGAAGGACAGCTGGAGTCCTTTAAGATTTTCTGCCCCTGCATCCAGGACTTTGTTAAAGGTGACAGTTTAAATGCCTGTGGGGTTTTCTTCTTGATTAGCTTGATATTTTTTTTTCCTTCTCTCCTCCCATAGATATTCTCTTAGACTTAGATGCTCCTGCATCTGCATCCAAGGCACCAGTACCAGCTACCACAGACCTCTGGGGAGACTTCAGCACTGCATCCAGGTAAACTGATGAAGGGAACACAAGAAGGGTAGTGTCCTAATGGGCACTGGAAGAACCATAAGTTAAGAAGTCTTATTAGATCTGCCCATTTGACTCTCCTTTCTTTATTGCAGCGCTGTTCCCAATCAGGCTCCTCAGCAGTCCAACTGGGTCCAGTTCTGAATGATCAAAGCAGTGGAATGGGGCAAACTGATGACCAAGAGGCACTAGAGGCACCAAATGGGATCAGAGGGGCCACAAACCTCTCTAGACTTCAATCAAAAACAAATTTGGACAATCTTTCATTTTTAAACCAGACCTTCACTTCAGTAAAAACTTACTATTTTTGATCCCACTGAACCAAAAGAGAACATACTGACTCCTCCCAAGATGGACAAGGAGGAGAGAGGTAGCCTTATCTCTTCCACCTACTTGGCCATTAAATGGTACATCCTAGCTCTTTTTCCCTGTCTTTCCATACAGGGAAAGCAAGAATC